TTGTTGCCTTTTTGTTGATTCTTGACTATAAAAGATCAACATTTGTTGTTTTCAGCTTCTGGCAAGTTTCCGGTGAATCTTGTTTGTTTTATTCTAATTTTGCTGCTAGATTCACGCTCCAAGTATGTCAATGAGTGAAGAGCCGATGAGTCATCACTCGCCGCGAGCCGCGTGGCCCCTCCCAACTACGTTAGCACCGTGAAACATCCCTTCCTCATATTCCAGATCCGCTTATGTATAGAAAGTCGTAAGTTATCAGTTAGTAGCCATTATTAAGAGAAAAGAAGGTCTCACAAGTTGGATTTCCTTATTTATCAAGCGAGCAGTCCATAATAGCGTTGGGGCGCGCTCTGCCACGTACCGACGATCGCGGCGATCGCCGAGGTCGCAAGGTCACCGCGCCGCTGCTGTCGCGAAGTATGAACGCTGCCTGACGGGTAGCGCAGGGCACATCATTTGGTGGAGATTTTGGTCGGGTCCATATCTAGCACATGTGGATCAGGAAAAAGCGAAAAGTCAACAACTGGGGAAAATTTTTTCCAACACTACATTGTTCTGTGCGAACGCATTTACGATCCCCCTCTTCCAACGAGCGATTGCAAGCCCCCTCCCTCCCTGATACCGTCCAGGAACAGAACAATCAACCATAAAATTTTCTCCAACCACTTACGACCCCCTCCTCTCAGCGACCAAATACGACCCCCCACTGTTGAGGAATCCCCATTGATGGTGTGCCTGTGGTAGCCTCAACCAGTTAAGGTGAACAACAAAAGACGCAATCAAACTGAGAGCTTCGCTAAGACTATCCCAGACATCCTAAAATCCTAACGTTTTGATTGTTTACCTATATCCTATAGAGTAAACAAAGATATCTTTGAATAGAAATACAGAAGCAGTTTGTGTAAATGGCGTACTTGTAACGAAATGCAGTGCTCGCTCGAGCGACCGATAGGATTTTCGCTTCAACGCACAGTTTTCATTAGCTCTAAGCAGTGGACACAGCCGTTTGGCGCTTGTACGCCACAAATCGACGTTTAGCGAAATTACGTGAGTAGCACTGCTAGAATCCGAAGTATCAAAGTGGAACCTGAGCTTGAACTGGCTGTTACGATGAACAAAGCGAGATTCCTACGGGAATGATTCAAGCAGTAGTTTCCCATAATGCGCTCTTCATTAACCAATGTCGCAGAACTAAGGATGGAGCCAAACGTAACAAGGCCCTTATTGAATTTTTCTCGCCCCGAAGTTCCATTTCAGAGCTCCGGTGATATTCAAATGATCATCTAGTTGTACAGGAAGCTGTAGGATTGATGATTGTTTAATTGTTCTATTCTCGCGAGTTCTGCTGCATGGGCATCCGAGAACTTGATGTACGGATTCGGCTGATATTTTCAGCCGAGTAAGAGAACTCACTACCATAAGTGGAAATATAGAGTTGCCTTCCAGCCACACTCGTGATCCCAACAAACTATAGGGCGTCTTGCGCGGGGGGGGGGGTGGTTTGGGGCGCTGCCAAACCACCGTTCTACCAGTTGTAGCGGCCTCATGATAGCACCAATGGTGGAAAATGGTGTCCTGGCTACGTCCATTGCGTCCCATGTCCTATCGTTTGCAGGAATCATTACTGAACATATCAATCTTCTCCATGCAAGTATAGTAGAGCATTTCCTGACAAGTCGCAATTTTCGTAAGTGCAAAGGGCCGGCTCTACCAGTTTAATTCAATTTCAAATTCCAACGTCATTCTTTTTCCATTTTCATTGAAACGACACGCGCTTATAACCATTCACACTGAATAGAAGAACACTGACGACGTTGAAATTTTGCAGACTAATTACCCGTTCTAGTTATCTCATAGAGCAACTACCGATGTGACAACTTGTGGCAGAATGTTAGATTGGACGAACCACTATGCGCGAAAGAGTAGCAGCACCGACGAGAACTTGCCATTGGATTCATGAACAGACGACTCGATCGCTGCCAGATAAAGAAAAGGCAGAAACCACATCCTGCAAAAATGTTGGCGATAGAAACGTCAGCAGTGCACGCCCTGTCGCTGAGGGAAACTTCTGCAAAATGCGACTCCTATCCGATTTTCCCCCCATAGTACGACCTTTTTTCTCCATCCACCTACCATCTTAATGTCTTCTCCCAACTTCCCACCACTTTCTTCTAGATCTAAAAGGATTTGCTGCTGAGCGGGCAACCAAACAACCAATAATTTCAGCTGTTGCGAACAGTAGCATGGGCATTTGATTGCCCCGTCAACTACACTGGGTCGAAAACAAAACATGACCATCTCCCACTTTCGCTAACTGAGCTGACTCCCCCCATCCCCCTCCAAACGTTGTGGAGGGAAGTGTCGGTAAAGGCAGGAAAAAATTCACCTATCAAAATTCTTCTTTATGATCCAATACGTCCCGCCGAGGGTCTCTCAGCGTCAGTCTGCTTACATGCCCTGACACAGGCACATGGCTGGAGACCGGCTGTGATTTAAGCCAGTCACACATAAATCTGCAATGGGATAAAGATCAGTTGATAATGAAGACCTAACCCTGAAGATAGCCTACAACTGGAGAGATAGACAAATGAGAAATACGCCATGGGTGTCCCTCATGATGACTTCACCCTAGAAATACTAGAACCCACTTCTACACTGAATAGAAAGCTACTGACGACGTTTAATTTTGCAGCTAAGTTACCCGGTTCCTAGTTTATTCATAGAGCAACTACCGATTTACAACTTTGTGAGCGAATTTGTTAGATTGGGACGACACTATGCTGCGGATAAAGAGTAGCAGCACCGACGAAACTTGCCATTGGATTCATGAACAGACGACTCGATCGCTGCCAGATAAAGAAAAGGCAGAAACCACATCCTGCAAAAATGTTGGCGATAGAAACGTCAGCAGTGCACGCCCTGGACTGTCGCTAGAGGTTGGAAACTTCTGCAAATGCGACGTCCTATCCGATTTTCCGCCATAGTAGACCTTTTTTCTCCATCCAGCTCACCAGTCTTAATGGTCTTTCCCAGCTTCCACCACCTCTTTCTTCTAGCATCCTAAGGATTTGCTGCATGAGCGCGTGCAACCCAAAACCAATTAATTTCAGCTGTTGCTGAACATAGTAGCATGGGCATTTTTTGATTGCCCGTCAATTACACTGGGTCGAAAACAAAACATGACCATCTCCCACTTTCGCTAACTGAGCTGACTCCCCCCATCCCCCTCCAAACGTTGTGGAGGGAAGTGTCGGTAAAGGCAGGAAAAAATTCACCTATCAAAATTCTTCTTTATGATCCAATACGTCCCGCCGAGGGTCTCTCAGCGTCAGTCTGCTTACATGCCCTGACACAGGCACATGGCTGGAGACCGGCTGTGATTTAAGCCAGTCACACATAAATCTGCAATGGGATAAAGATCAGTTGATAATGAAGACCTAACCCTGAAGATAGCCTACAACTGGAGAGATAGACAAATGGAAATCGACCATGGGTTCCCTCCAGAAGATCACCCCTAAAAACTACTACGGGAATCAGGGAGCTGTCTTGTGAAGAGTTGCATCTATGGCACTGGCCTTTTATGGTAGACATTTCCACGGTGCCCACACCCCCACTCTTTTCCAAAAAACCAAAATAAGAATCAAACATGGAATTCGGGGAGTGCTCGAAATGGGAAGGGGTAACTTCAGTTGGCAAATACCGGACGATTGACTCCCACACCCGGGCGGTACAGTCCAGGAAAGCAGGAACAGGGTAGCCGAGGTTATCCTACGAAGTGGGAAAGAAGCGCCAGGCATCTGACAGTGGGATAGAAACGCCGGGTGCGACGCGAGGTGAAATCAAGTGAGGTGAGATGGTATGGTTTAAGAATGAGGAAGTTTAACGAATCGTAAAGCAGTAGACGTAGCGTCCAAACCTAGCGCAAAACGGTCTGGAACACTCCCTGTTTACCGAGAATTCAGAGTAGTAAAGCCGGGAAGAGCTTCTATGGTAAACTCCTTATCCCTGAGCCAGAGTAGGCGTGGCATTTGAACATGGCACGGAACTGGTTACTCGTGGAATATTCCAGTCTGGGACAACTGTCATCTTGTTCTGTGTTGGACAGAGACACGACAACAATTGTGTCAAGATGAAAATATCTCACCAGAAGCATAGACACCTTCAGGTTAAGTTGAAGAATGCAGGCCACGCCTACCCGATTCAGGATTTCGAGTGTACCTTGTCGGATTTCATCTTTTTCTGTCACCCATGAATACTGTCCCCGTCCCCCTCTATTTATGCGCGAAATCCCTGAGATCGGGTAGGCGTGGCTGCGTACTTGATTTTAAAATGGCGGCGGCCCAGGTTTTCGTGAGATATTGTCATTTTGGAGCAGTCGTAATCATGTCTACATCTAACACAGATAGCAGTTGTTTCAAATTGAAGTATCCCACGAGTAACCCGTCCTATGCCATGCTCAAAAGCCACGCCTACTCCGTCTCAGGGATGAGGAGTGTATGTTTTTAGCACTAACGTCGCACTGCACCTTTGTTCCTGCGCAATGTGCATTAGTCCCCATTTCAGGTACAACAATGTTTATTCAGCGCGGGCTAGAAACATTTTCTCTGTATATTGTCTGCATGTACCCCAAAAATGGTACGGGAACGTGATTCGGGAGAATCTACATACACATCTAATGCATGCATGTTTTTCCCGCAATTGCACAATAAACATTTTACCAAACGGCGCGCTCAACACGTTAACGTTGTCCGTGAGCGATCGCGTCAATTTTTCCCTCTGGTCTTCTTCATTCCTATCGCGGCTGTACAGTTTGCATCAGCAAGTAATGATACATCCAAATATGCTTTATCTCACAGTATGCGATGGTAGCTACAGTTAATCTTTGTTTATTTTAGGTCAGTTTGGTCGTTTCATTTTTCGTCATCAACAATTGCCTCCATTGCGCCTAGTTTTTCACAAGAGCTGGTTTACTGCTATACCATTGGCGTTCGTAAAAAACGATGGTGGTAAGTGAGCATTTCATGTTCTAAAAATCTCATCCGTACAAGAATAGTTAGCACCACACTATTCCAACTACAACAAACCAAGAATTTTCTTCACTGAAATTATTGGGAGTTATCACTGCTCCGATCATGGCGCTAATTCATTTTTGCACTTAATATGTCGATATATTAAATGCAAAAAATACTAACATACTTATATATGTTGGCGTTGTCATTTTGCAACTTGTCAGGGGCCTGTTAAAAGAGATTATTCCGTGCTTTGCATACGAATATGTTGTTT